CACGTTTATTAGAATAGTATATCGTGAGGACGATTTCGGATTCTTAATTAGGAGTAGATTATTTACATTTTGACACTAATTGTCAGTCGATTGTTCCTATTTTAAATAGTTTTTGGAAAGTTTTTGAAAATTTGGACTCATTTTTCATGTTTATTTGAGCAGATATGGTGACAGCGATTTTGAATCCCTAATTAGAAGAATATTATCCACAATTTGACACCAATTTTCAGTCGATTGAACCTATTTTAAGCAATTTTTTGCAAAAATTTTTGAAAACTTTAGACTCATTTTTCTCGTTTATTTGAATAGATATCATGACGGCGATTTCGGATTCCTAATTGGGAGAAGATTATCCACAGTTTGACACCAATTTCGCGTCAATTGACCCATTTTTAGCAGTTTTTTGGAAAAATTTTGAAAATTTTTGACTCACCGTTCGCGCTTATTTGAATAGATATTGTGACGACAACTTCGGATTCTTCATTAGGAGTATATTATCTACAATTTGACACCAATTTTCAGTCGATTGATCCCATTTTAAGCAGTTTTTTGTAAACATTTTGAAAATTTTAGATTCGTTTTTCATATTTATTTGAACAGATCTCATGACAGCGATTTCGGATTCTTAATTAGGAGAAGATTTGCCGCAATTTGACAAGAATTTCGAGTCGATTGAACCAATTTCTAGCAGTTTTATGGAAAAGTTTTGAAAATGTTTGACTCACCGTTCGCGTTTATTTGAATAGATATTGTGACGACGACTTCGGATTCTTCTTTAAGAGTAGATTATTACCTACAATTTGACACAAATTTTCAACGGATTGAACCCATTTTCAGCAGTTTTTTGGAAAAATTTTGAAAAATGTTGTCTCATTTTTCACGTATATTTAAACAGATATCATGACGGCGCTTTTGGATTCCTAATTAGGAGAAGATTGTCCACAATTTGACACAATTTTCAGTCGATTGAACCTATTTTAAGCAATTTTTTGCAAAAATTTTGATAATTTTAGACTCATTCTTCACGTTTATTTGAATTGATATCATGATGGCGATTTCGGTTCCTTAATTAGGAGAAGATTATCTACAATTTGACACCAGTTTTCAGTCGATTTCACCTATTTCAGTTTTTTGGAAAAATTTTGAAAATTTCAGACACATTTTTCACGTTTATTTGACTAGATTTTGCGACAACGATTTCAGATTCTTAATTAGGAGAAGGTTATCTTCAATTTGACACGTATTTTCAGTCGGTCGAACCCATTTTAACAATTTTTTGGAAAAATATTGAAAATTTATGCTCATTTTTGACGTTCATTTGAATAAAGGCTTTGATGGCGATTTTGGATCGTTAATTAGGAGAAGATTATCTATAATTTGTCACCAATTTTCAGTCGATTTCACTCATTTTAAACAGTTTTTTGGAAAAATTTTGTATTATTATTTTTGCTATTTTTGACCGATATATTTCTGGACAATTGTTTTTTCTAATAATTTAAAAATCAAGATGAAAAATTATTGTTACTCTCATCTTAGAAAGTTGGCTGTCCCAATAATTAAACAGTGCCCTTCAACATACCAGACAGAGACGGACTGGAATTTTGCCGCTGTAGTGTACCTAAAACTGATGTTGTTTAATATGTAGCCTGTCCGTAATGCAATTTTCCGATTTTTTCAAAAATTCATTTTTCGATTAGCAACTTTTTTCGTTTTTTCAGTGTTTCGAATTTTCCGTTCCTCGATTTTTAATTTTTCCCTTCTGCGGCATTAATCTGCAATTTTTTGAGTTTCCAGTTTAATTTTTCGATTTTTTAGTTTTTCGTTACTTCACCTTTGAGTTTTTCTAGTTTTGAATTTTTCGGTTCTGTAATATCGGGTGTTGCAATTTTTCTGAAATTTCAAAATTAAAATTTTGCTTTTTCAATTTTTCGATTTTTAATTTTTCGTTTCCGCAATTTTTTGATTTGCAATTTTTTGAGATTGGTCATTTCTATTCATATTTTTAGATTTCTCAATTTTTCAATATTTTATTTTTTCGTTTTTTCAGTTAATAGATTTCCGATTTTTTGCCTTTTTTTACAAGAGTAAAAAAATTCCGGGTTTACAATTTTTCAAAATTTCAATTTAGCTAAAATCTGAGAAGACTAAAATTTGAATTATCGTTTAAATCAAATAAAGGCACTAAAATATCTACAAACTGAAAATTCGGAAAATCGAGGGAACGAAAAATTGAAAAACCAGAAACAATCAATTGCAGATCGAAAAACTGAAGGAACAAAAATTTGCAAAATCGAAAATCTAAAAATTCGAGAACTTGAAAATTAGACCACTTAAAAGCGAAAAATTGTAAAGCTGGAAAACTGTAAAATTGAATCATTCTAAATCGAAAAACTTAAAAATCTAAGTAACTATAAAATCGAAAAATTAAAAATTTCAAGTCTTGATAAATAGAAACTTTGAAGAACTTCAAACAAATTCGAAAAACTGTAAAATCTAACAAAAGTCTGAAAATCGAGAAATTGCAAAATCGGGAAACTAAAGAATTTTTAAAAACTCAAAAATGGGTTCTATTAAAAAAATTAATGCAAATAAACGCGGTGAAAACAAATAAAACTTAATTTGTTAAAAAAAAAAATTAAATATGAAAATTCAAAAATTCAAAAACTGTAAAATTGTTCGTTTTGAATTATTTAAATTAAGAATTAGAATTTGCGAAAATGGAACATTAAAAGATTAAGAACTTGAAAAATTTTAAAGCTAAATTAAAAATTGAAACCTCGATTAATTGAAATAAGGAAAAATTGGGAGATATCGAGCTAACTGTAAAATTGAAAAATTTTAAATTAAAAAATTTTTTGAAAAAGTTAAAATTGAAAACTGTATAATTTTTAAAAATTTAAAAATGGATGCGATTAAATTAATAATAATTAAATAAACGTGGCGAAAGCAATAATTTCATCGAATTATTCGAATTACACCAATGTAGGTTGTTGTCATTGTCGAAATTAAATTAAATTAAATTAGATTTGCCAAGATAAGACTGATTTTGGCAGATGACATACCTTCCAAGAAAATAAAGGGTGGGTGGGCGGGGCAAGTACTTGCTAAGTATAATTCTCACATTTAGATCTTCAATTCTATCCACACTTTTGTTTAAAAATAGCATTTTCCAAAGTCGGGAACAAGAAATAAATCAGCTCATTTTTAACAATTTTCTGAAAAGTGTTAAAGAACGTCCAAAACTTGGCACGGCAAAAACTACCATAAATGATGACAATGTCCTTAATGTCCTGTTAGACAATTAGCACTGAATCACAATGTTAGTAGAAAATCAGTTCAATAACGAAAAAGGAAAAAAAAATACATACCGAAAATTTAAAATATTTAAACATAAAAACTAAAAAACTAAAAATTACAAAAACGTAAAATTGAAAAATTCAAAGGTTCAAAAATCGAAAAACTGGAAAAGCCAAAAGTTGAAAATATTAACAATTGTTATTTAATATTAACAAATCTACCAGTTTCTAATATGATAATCGCCACAATAGTTTTCATTCTGCCGAACGACTTGCATAAAATCGACTTCGTTGTCATAAATTACAAAAATGAAAAAAGCTGGAGTTTTATGTAAATTAATATGATTTTATCATAGAAAGTAGGAAAGAATTTTCATACCCCCATTAGCGACTCCTTAACGAGACTGGTGCATATTTCCTTTAATTTAAAGTTACATCGTTAGTTATAAACTATGTAGTTTTAAAATACATGAAACGTACAAATAAATTAAAACTTTTTTAACGAGCGTCGAGATGGTCGTACTTAAAATTTGATAAAACGAAAGTAGCATCATTGGAGGTTGAGTGTTTTTCCGTGTTGACTAATTTCATAAAATTATTGAACGGGGAACGAAGAAAGGGTTAATAATTGCGAAATGAAATTATCGAAGGTTCGGTGTTTATTAATCCCTCTGTTGTTAGTTGAAATTCTTTCAAGATTTATCGGAAATTGCAGCGTGCGTAGTCTACCCGAAAATATAAATCATCCCGGATTTAATTATCAAATAAAATTATACCGCTTAATGTAAGTGCAAATAAAACTAACTACTGACAGTTTAATTTACATTTAAATTTTACGATAGTAAACATTGATCTTGGGTCTTAAGAAACAAATAAGCACTAATTCTTCGCTAAAGCTTCTTAAATATTTAACGGAGGAGTATTTACCTGGCCGTTGTTTTTCGGGGAAATTTCGCAGCAATTTTTAAGAGTGAACATCGCTCCTACAGGCTATAAACAGAGGTCATTTAGCCCAGAAACCACATGAGGGTTTTTAAAAACATGAGAAAAAAAGTTATCAACGTCTTGCCAATTATTTTTTCGTATCGCATCTCAAGTCCAACAATACTGTTAAACGAAAACTGGAACACCTACTGGAAATGGTAATATTTTATGGGAAATAATTTTAAACGGAGGTTCTAAATCAACAACAGTGTCAAAAAATCTAAATTGTATTAAAATCCTCAATTTCTCGTAAGTTAAATAAACACGAAACGCATAAATAGCGAACGTCGGACTTGTTTATCACATTGGCGCTCCTAAGTTATTGTGTTATTGTTCTTAAATAAATAAATGTCGTTTCCGGAGTTTGACAAATGGGTATTTTACATTTTACCGGAAATGCCACATTTAAGTTCGGTTCAGTTCGGCCTGCAGCCCCAAATAAATTGTACTTTATCGCACACTTCACGTAAATTTATTATCCGGGAAATGATCCTTTTGTTTATTATTCAGAGTGGTGGAAACCACCATAAATATTTTATTCCCCGGCATTCTAAATGATGAAAATAACAAACTCCAAGTGTTATTGACTTTTTACAATCCCATCTCCCCCGTGAGCAAAACAACAAATCTCAACAAACAGACCCCGTCCCCGCCAAAATCATAACCCTCCATCTCCGGATAAAACCCGCCTAAAGGACATTTTTACGTTCCTCTACTTGCCTTATCGTCACAGTCCTGTAAAGCTTCCGGAAAAAATTGCCCCGAAACTATCTCCTTTACGCACAAAGACCCTCGTCAAAATTTTCTCACAGATTCGCTTTTATTAAATTCGAACGTTTCGCGGGTCGCCGGTAAGTTTGTTTTGGTAACACCTCTCGCTCGCAGGACGCCCGGTGAGAATCTACAAGTTTAACGAAACCGACGCTCCCGCTGTGGACGTCCCGACGCATACGCAAGCGTAACTTTCCTCTCTGTCTAACTATGTGTCGGCTCTGACGTACTCTTAGTGCAACATCGTGTATGGATTAGGCTGGAGCGGCGCAGTTATTGATGGATGCTGTATGGACAGTTCAATTAAAATTAATTGTTATTTCGCATTTATGGGCAGTTGTATGCACCACGGGAAGCCGGCCAACGGCGACGGTCATAGCGATATATAATATATTTGGACCGGGCTTGAAACCAGATACGATATTGCGACAGACGTACTCGCCACACTGAAACCAATACATACAACAATCACGATGATCAAGTGTCTTTTTCACCAGGGGGGATGTGTTATGTACAACAATCTAGCAATCTGTGAAGCCTAACTACATCTGAATTTCCACGTATTTACTCCAGTGTGAAATTTCGCTTCAGGTTGCGTTTAAATACTGTGGAGAAGTTTCAGAGCGATATATTCTGATCCTCCACATTATTAACTAATTAGCAAACTATTGACCTTTGGTCCCTGGTCTACTAAAATGTTGAACAGCAGACGAATTATGAAAGTTATTTGTAGATATCAAGCCTATCATCTATCTCTCAAACTGTGGTAGTGTTGTTAATTAGTTCTGCTTGCAGTTATATCGGAAGTTTGCCAATGTATTTGTTTGTGACAGCTAAAAGGTAATGAACTGCCGCCAACTTCGTTCCGTGGAATGTACAGCCACGTTTCTCTCTTTTATACTTTGAACTTGACCCGACAGAAAATTTCAAATCAGTTGTTCTATATTTAAATCTGAATTAACTTGACTGAGTGTTAAACGCAGATGTTGGTCATATCCCTATCTCCACTTTCTTCTAAACAATGTTGTAAAAATTCTGGGAAATGAAGTCTATTTTGCTGGATTTCACGCGAATTGTCTGCATGAATAGTGTTCATTTTTAGATAACAAACAGTTATATCGCTCAAAATGCGACGATTATTTTGCATTGTGCATGGCTTCAATTAGCTTAAAGGATTCGTTTTCAAATACTAAAACAATTCGTTTCGTTTGTTCCAATTTGTGTTAAAACGCGTAATTAATTCTGTTGCAAACTAATTTTAGATGCATGCAGTTGATAAAGGGTCGCAAATAAAAAAAATTCTGCCAATTTTGTGTTAATATTTGTGATGAAACTGATTAAAATTGTAAAATATGTTTTTTTTAATTTCCCTCTGGAGTGTGAAAAAATAGATCTCCCGTTTTCGTCCGTTTGTCTGTCGCCTGTGTTGATTCTTATTATAATCTCAGAAACTATAGAATTTTGTATATATATATAGATGGTAAAACACTAACCACAATTTGTCTGATCATCCCCATTAACAACGAAATGACGTCACCTCCAAATTGTACATTAGCAACTGTTTAAATTTTATAAATAACGTGATCCTCTACTTGTGGTTTATGAATCCGTGTTGAATTTTTATCCTAGACATCGAGATTTAAAAAAAAAATCAAAATTGTAAAACCATTTTTGGATCCATCAATTTCTAGAATTTTAGATTTTTCGGTTTTCCGATTTCTCGATTTTCGGTTTCTCAATTGTTTCGAGATTTCTGTTTTGGAATTTTTAAATTGTTTGATTCTTCAAGTTTTTGATTTTTCATTTTGTCAATTTTTCAATTCTACAATTTATCAATTTTTTGGCTTCTCAATTTTCCACTATTTTAGTTTCCAATTTTTCGATTTTACAATTTCTCGAGATCCTATTATCACTTTTCTGATTTTTCGACTTCGATTTCCGGATTCTTCGATTTTCAGATTTTTCGATATTGCAGTTTTTTGGCTTTCCATTTCCCGATTTCTCGAATTTTTGATGTTTCGCTTTCTCGACTTCTCGATCTCTCGGTTTTTTGATTTTTCAGTTTTTCAATTAAGTTTCTCACTACTTTAGTGTTGAGACTTTCAGTTTTTCGATTTTTGAAATTTCCGAATTTTCCAGTTTTTTGAATTCTCGAATTTTCTATGTTGAAATTTTTCAATTTTTCGATTCTTCAATTTCTCGATTCTTAAATTTATTGATTTTTCAAATTTTATATTTCTCGATTTTTGAATTTTTCGGTTTCTATTTTACGGTATTTCAATTTCTCGATTCTAAAATTAAAAAAAAATTTTTCTTCGACATTTCTGTTTTGAATTTTTTTGAATTTCGCATTTCACGTTTTCTTGAATGTTTGATATTTCGCTTTCTCGATTTGTCAGTATTTCAATTTTTACCGTGTCAAAATTTTCGATTTCTCGATTAATCGATTTTTTGATTTCTCGTTTCAACTTTTCAATTTTTCAATTTTTTGAATTTTCCGTTTCTTGTTTTCTCGAAGTTTCGATGTCTCGATGTTTCAATTTCTCGACTTCGCAATTTCTGAATTTATCGATTTTTCTTTCAATTCCTCAGTTTTTTAGGGTTTTGTCTTCCCAGTTTTTCGATTTTTTAAATTATAGATTTTTCGATTTATCGATTTTTCAAAGTTTTGGAATTTTCCAGTTTTTCTTGGATTTATCGATTGTTCCATATTTCAGTTTTGGAATTTTGTAATATTGCGATTCTTCGATTTTTGGAATTTTCGATTTTTCCATGTTTCAATGTTCCAATTTCTCGACTTCGCGATTTCCCCATTTTTCGATTTTTCTTTGGTTTTTTCAATTTTTCATGTTTTGTTTTTTCAGTTTTTTCAATTTTTTAGATTTTTCAATTTTTCCACTTTTCGATTTCTTCATTTTTCAATTTTTCAGTTCTTCATATCAATTTCTCCATACATTGGTATTGTGATTCTTCAATTTTTCAGTTTTTCGATTCTTAAAGCTCTCCATTCTTCACAATTTTCGATTTTTCGATTTTTTTAATCTTCAGTTTCTCGATTCTTCGACTTTTTGGATGTTCGACTTTTCGAATTTTCGATTTTTCAGTTTTTTGATTTTCCATTTCTCGATTTCCCGAATTTTCGACGTTTCGATTTTTGGATTTCTCGATTTTGGATCTTTCAGTTTTTTAATTCAATTTCTTGATATTTTAGTGTTGAAATTTTTAGTTTCTCGGTTTCTTAATTTTACGATTTTTCAGTCTCTCGATTCCTCTTATTTTCGATTTTTGGATTTTTTAATTTATGGCTTTTCTAAATTATTAATTCTTCGATTTCTCGATTTTTCGAGTTTTCAGTATTTCAGTTCAATTTCTCGATATTTCAGTGTTCGAACTTTTCAGTTTTCCAATTCTTCAATTTCTCGGTCCTTCAAATTTTCGATTTCTCGATTTTTAATTTTTCGCCTTCTAGTTTCCGGTATTTCATTCATCGATTCTTGAATTTTTCGACTTTTGAAATTTTTGAGTTTCTAATTTTTGATGTTTCGATTTCTCGAAGAATTCTCGATTTTTTAATTTTTCAATTTTTACTGTTTCAAAGTTTTCAATTTTTCAGTTTTTTGAAGTTTTCTCGAAGTTCCGATGTTTGTATGTTTCTATGTTTCAATTTCTCGACTTCGTGATTTCTCGATTTTCCGATTTTTCAGTTTTTCAATTCAGTTGGGATTTTTCTCTCTCGAGTTTTTAGTTAGTTTTTCGGTTTGCAGTGTTTTGAATTTACCATTTCGCGATTTCTCGAATTCTCAGTTTTTCAGTTCAATTTCTCGATACTTTGGTGTTGGGATTTTCAATTTTTCGATTATTCAATTTCTCGATTTTTCAAATTTTGCTTTCTCCATTTTCCAGATTTTTCGGTTTCCCAATTTTCCGTTATTTCGATGTTAGTCTTCAATTTTAGGAACTTTAATTTTAAGTGTATCGATTTTTTAATCTCTAGTTTTTCTAATTTTTTGATTTCTCGATTTCTCTCTCTATTGTTCGATTTTTCGACTTTTCGATTTTTCAGTTTTTCAAATTTCCCATTTCTCGATTTCTCGAATTTTAGATGTTTCGATTTCCCGATTTTTCGAGTTTTCAGTTTTTGAATTCAAGTTCTCAATATTTCAGTGTTGGAATTTTTCGATTTTTCAATTTTTGGCGTTTCTGATTTTTGATGTTTCGATTTCTCGATTAATTTTAAAATTTTTGATTTCTCGTTTCTTTCACTTTTCGATTTTGCAGGTTTTTTAATTTCCCATTTCACGTTTTCTGAAATTTTTGATGTTTCGATTTCTCAACTTTTCAATTTTTCAATTTTTTCAAATTCCCGTTTCTCATTTTCTCGAAGTTTCCACGTTTCGATGATTCAATTTCTCGACTTCGCGATTTCAAGATTTTTGATTTTTCTTTGAATTCTTCATCAGTTGTTTTATGTTTTTCGATTTTTCCACTTTTTGATTTGTCGATTTTTCGGTTTTTCGATTTCCCAATTTTTCATTTATACGATTCTTCAATTTTCCGATTTTTTTTTCCAATTTTTCAAAATTTTTTGGGTTTTGGTTTTTCGATTTTCAATTTTCCAAAGTTTTGGGATTTTACTGTTTTTCTTCGATTTTTCAATTTTTCGGTCTACCGATTGATTTATCAATTTTTCCATATTTCAGTTTTGGAATTTTTTAATATTTCGACTCTTCGATTTTTCGAATTTTAGATTTTTCCGTGTTTCGATGTTTCAATTTCGCGATTTCTCCATGTTTCGATTTTTCTTTCGTTTTTTCAATATTTTAGGTTTTTGTTTTTTCAGTTTTTCGATTTTTCCTCTTTTCAATTTCTCCATTTTTCATTTTTTCAATTTTTCGATTTTTCTTTCAATTTTTCAGTTCTTCATTTCAATTTCTCAATACTTTAGTGTTGGGATTTTTGAATTTTTCAAGTTTTCGATTCTTAAATCTCTCGATTGTTCAAATTTTCGATTTTACGACTTTTCGAATTTTCGATCTTGCAATTTTTTATTCAATTTCTCGATATTTTAGTGTTGGGATTTTTCAATTCTTCGATTCTTCAATTTGTCGTTCTTC